GAGAGCAACAAATGCCCCAATCCCCCAATTGGCCCTACCCTGAGCGAGACTGAGGGTGGTATCACAACCTCCCAATCCGCCCTGCTCTGTGCATGACAGGATGGCGCCCCAGCTCCCCAATCGGCCCTGCTCTGAGCCCGACCAGGGGCTGCACCTAGGGATTGGGCCTGCCCTCTACCACCCGGGAGCAGGCCTAAGCCAGCAGGTCGTTTTCTCCTGAGGGGTCCCAGACTGCGAGAGGGCACAGGCTGGGCTGAGGGACACCCTTCCCCTGGGCCTCTAGTAAGAAAATAATGAGCAAAGATTCAAACAGACACTTCACCAAAGGAGATATTTGGATGGCAAAGAAGCACACGGAAGGATGCTCAGCCATTAGCCACTAGGAAAAAGCAAATTAAAACTCCAATGTCAAACCACTACACATCTATTAGAAAGCTCAAAAAGACTGACAATACCAAGTGCTGGTGAGGATGTGGGGAGCAAGTGACACTCCCATACACTGCTGTGACAATATAAGGAAATAGTTTAGCAATTTCTTAGAAAGCTAAACATGCCCCTGCCACATGGCCTAAGCACTTTACCTGAGAGAAATGAAAACATATGTTCACAAAAGATTTGTACTTGAATGTTCATAACAGCATTATTCAAAATAGCTCCCCACAGTGGAAACAGACCCAATGTTCATTAACAGGTAAATGGATAAAGGAATTGGGGTATATCCAAATAAGGGTATGCTACACAGTAATGTACTACTGTTACACTAAACAGCATGAATGAATCTCAAAATAAGTATGCTGAGTGAAAGAAACCTTCCCAATAAAGCACATGTTATATGATTCTCTTTATGGAATTCTAGAAAATTCAAACTAATCTATAGTGACAGAAAAATCATTGATCACCTGAAAAGCAGTGAGAGGTGAGAAAATGGTAGGAGAAAGGTAGTAAAAAAGAAGCATGAGTTCGGCCAGTGGTGCTCAGTGGTTGCGCATCAACCTACGAATCAGGAGGTCACAGTTTCAATTCCTGGTCAGAGCACATGCCTGGGTTGTGGGCTCAATCCCCAGTAGGGGGTGTGCAGGAGGCAGCCGACCTTTCTCATCTTTTATTATATAGCATAGAGGCCTGGTGCACGGGTGGGGGCCGGCTGGTGAAGGGTGTCCTGGATCAGGGTAGGGGTCCTCCTAGGGTGCCTGTCCAGCCTGGGTGAGGGGCTGAGGGCCGTTTTCAGGCTGGCCACACCACGGGCTGGAAGTAGGTATCTGCTGGGATTTATTTACCTTCTATAATTGAAACTTCGTAGCCTTGAGCGGAGCTCAGGGCCGGCAGGGCAGGCGGGAAGCTTGGCTTCCTCCATCGCCGGGGCAACTCAAGCTTCCTGCTCACTCCAGCTCTGTGCTGCCACCATCTTTGTGACAGAGTGATGGTTAAATTGCATATTACTCTTTTATGAGATAGGATAATAAAAGGGTAAGATGCAAATTGACCCTAATGGCAGAACGACGGGGAACGACCAGTCACTATGATGCGCACTGGCCACACGGGGGCAGATGCTCAATGCACGAGCGGCCCCCTGGTGGTCAGTGCGCTTCCACAATGGGAGTGCCACTCGGCCATCAGCCGCTTGGCTTCCTCCATCGCCGGGGCAACTCAAGCTTCCTGCTCACTCCAGCTCTGTGCTGCCACCATCTTTGTGACAGAGTGATGGTTAAATTGCATATTACTCTTTTATGAGATAGGATAATAAAAGGGTAAGATGCAAATTGACCCTAATGGCAGAACGACTGGGAACGACCAGTCACTATGATGCGCACTGACCACCAGGGGGCAGATGCTCAATGCACGAGCTGCCCCCTGGTGGTCAGTGCGCTTCCACAATGGGAGTGCCACTCGGCCATCAGCCGGCTCATGGCTGGCCAGTGCAGTGGTGGTGGCGGGAGCCTCTCCTGCCTCCGTGGCCGTGCTAAGGATGTCCAACTAATGGGGGGAGTGCGGGCCTAGGCCATTAGTCAGACATCCCCCAAGGGCTCCTGGGCTGCCAGAGGGATGTCTGACTGCCAAATAGGCCCTGATCCCCTGGGGAGCGGGCCTACGCAGGCAGGTGGACATCCTCCAAGGGGTCCCTGACTGTGAGAGGGAGCAGGTCAGGATGAGGGACCCCCCACCCTGAGTGCATAAATTTTCGTGCACTGGGCCTCTAGTACTTATATAAATTAAAATCAATTATGTACTCTTGTTACTATTTCCTGGTAGAGGCCTACAGTTTAAATCAAGAAGTGGGTCACTTGGTTGTGAAAGAAAACCAACATGGTGGTTTTCCAGTCACACTTCTTAATCTATCTTTTCTACATGACGCACACTCACCCTCGCTTCCTCCTGACCACTTGGCAATCACAGCAGACACAGACAGGATATGAAATGGTTTCATTATAAATCTGAATCTAAATCTCCGGGGACAAAGCTCATCTTTTCATATTTATATGATTTTCCTCACCAAGTGCAGAACAACATGCCAGTATAAATGATAGGAAATAGATTTCTCCATATGAGATCCACAGTTCTTAACCCGAGCAACATATTACCTAAAGGAAATATTAAAACTCAATTGATGAAACTTGTGGGTTGTTCTACAAAATATCCCTGCTGTAATGAGGGTATATTGAGAAAATAAAAAGTGACAGTGAAGCCCACTCAAAGATAACTTTTAATTCTGAAAAGGACTACAGCAAGTGACATTTTTGAAAATGGTGCAAAAAAAATATTATATTCTTTCAAAAACTCCACATGAAAGCACGGAAATAAACTGGTAAAAGAAGCCAGAAATGGTATTTTCAGAACACTGGGAATTAAACAAAGGCTGGCCGCATTCCGGACAGCACTGATTTAAGAGAAATGGCTGCATTTCAGCATGAACAGTGAGCTGCGTGGTATTTTAGTTGCCCTGTCCCATTCTGCCCCCAACTCTTGGTGGCAGCCTTGGACACCAAGGACCTGCAATCTGTCTTGAGCTTTAGCAGTCATGAGGAGACTTAGCAGGATGATGAGGTTTAGCAATCTGGCCGTCACCGGAGGGGCAGCACAGGATGGTAGCACCTTCAGAGTCTCATCCCAGAGAACCATCATTATTCGTTTGTCTGGGGGTTCCTTGCAATACCCTCATTGTAAATTTGTTTTATTAGGTCCGATTCAAAGCTTGGCCAGTGTAAAAAGCCTTTCCCCCGGGGCTTTTATAGAAAATGAGTGGAGGCAATTGTTTAACTTCCTCAAAAGCTAACACTGAGTTACGATATGGCCCTGCATATATACCCCAGGGAATTGATGACATAGGATCACACAAAAACTTGTACACAAGTTTCCACAGCAGCATTATGCACAATATCCAAAAAGTGAAAACAACTCAACTATCCATCAACAGGTGAATGGATAAACAAATATGGTATGTCCATCCAATACACTGTTATTCACCTGTGGAAAAAGGTGAAGCACTTATTCATGCTACAACAGAGATGGACACTGAGAAAATCTGGCTGAATGAAACTGGACAGAAAGTGCCACATTTTATATGATTCCATTTATATAAAATGTCCAGAATAAAAATGTGCATAGAGACAGGAGGTAAATCAGTGGTTGTCAGGGGCTGGCGGGAGGAGATGGGAAACGGGTGTTAATGGTACATAGTTTTATGGTGGGGGTGCGGGTGGGGGAGGGTGACAATATTCTGGAATTTGTCATGCGGTCATGAATAGACTAAACGCCAATGATTTATACACTTTAAGAGAGTGAATTGTATATTAATTATATTTCAATTTTTTTTTAAAAAGTAGTACAGCTTCTGAAAGTCGTATTGGCCATTTAAATTTCCATGAAAATTTTCTGGGGTGGCTTTGAGCTATTGGGTTGAGAAAGTTAATTTTGGCAATTACGTATGTAGGGGAACACAACTACAAGGGCCATGTACACACACACACACACACACACCACACACACAACCACACACACACCGTTCATAAACAGGATGGATGAGAAAATCAACAACTTATGTAAGAATCAAGAGGATCCCTAGCCAGTGTAACTCAGTAGATAGAGTGTCGGCCTGTGGAATGAAAGGTCCCTGGTTCGATTCCAGCCAAGGGCACATGCCTGGGTTGCAGGCTCAGTCCCCAGTAGGGGCAGCTGATGGATGGGGTTTCTCTCTCATTGAGAGAGCAGAGATCTTTTCCACAAATCCCACCATATGCCCAGCTTTCAGCATAGTTCCTGGCATGTAATAGAGTACTCCACAAACATCTGTTGAATGAATGAATGAATGAATGGGTGTGCATACACATGCACACACCTACAGACCAACACAAACAAGACATAAAACTCCTTAAGAGCATGAACATGACCATTTTCTCCCATAACCTTCTAAGCCCTTAGCTCAGCGTGGGCACACGGGGACACTGGGAGAGTGAATACTGAATGAATTGAGAAGCACATTCCATCACACACAACACACCACACACACACACACCACACACACAAATGCATACCATCTAAAGCAAGCCCTTTACCCTCCAGGTACTCAAAAGTGTGGCCACAGTTATTTTCCTGGCAAACCATTTTCTTTAACACTATCTCCAATCTGCACACCCGCCACAAGGTTGGACACAGTATAACTCTCCAGACTGAAGCCAGCAAGGGTAACCCTACCTTTATTATTGTTTTGTTGTTCCATCAATAATTTACTTATTTCCGCAAACCAACAATCTCTGATTTCCTTGGAAGCTGCCTGCAATTACAGATAAGAAAACACTGTGAGTGTCAGATCAGCTGGAGGATGAATTGCACAGGGCTTTCATCCTCTGGGGGACCGTAGGAACAATGAGATAGAAAACACTTGTCCAGCCATGGGTAACCCCTGGGGAAGCCCCGAGCTTTACCTGCAGGATGTATTTCTCAAGTCCATTTCGGTCGACAAGTTCAAACTTTCTGTTGCCCCCACTTTCAAGTTGGTGAATTGAAAGTGTCGTCCACTGTTACAAAGAAAGAAGAAAAATGTCCAAACCATCGTTTTCTGATTTCAGAATGGTCACTGTCAGCTACCCTAATCCTTTCTACCCCTGATGTCTCTCTTCGTCCATCTTCCTTCCAAGTGTTTTGCTGTCTTCTCTTAACGGCTCCAAGGAGCATAAAACACAGTCTGGCACAGAGCCAGCTGCCTGGTCTGTTTCAGAGCATAACAGACTATATCTTCCTATCAGTAGAGCTGTAGCCGCAACCTTTAAGCAAAGGTCAGCTCTTCCGTAACACAGGCCCTACTCACCAAGTCTCCCACTCCTGTGCCTGGAGGAAATAGGCCCTTCCCTCTACTTAGCACGAAATGCCCTCCACTCCAGCTCTGCCCCCTCTGCTGACTGATTCGCAAACCCGACTCTGGAGTGAGACGTGGGTGTGGATTCTCGCTCTGTCGTGTGGCATTTGGCAAGTGAGCCCCACCCCTCTGTGCTACAGTTTCCTGTCTGTACCATCAGATCACTGTTTCTCTCCATTGGCTGTGCAGACGCCCAGGTGGGACAGGAGCCCGTTACCTTCATCGACTTCTTAAAGCTGTAACGAGGGGCCGGGCCCTGGTCACTGGGCTCCATCCGTATCTTGCAGAACACGATTCCCCTTTCAAACAGATAGAGCTGCCTCTGGCTGGGCTTAAAGCGAATGAAGCCCGTCACCTTGGAGCGCTCCTTGTGCACCGTCCAGACGCTGAACGCGCCCTGCCTCCGCAGCCTGCCCAGCTCTCCGATGTCCTCCTTTAAGGATCACAGACACACACAAAGCGGAGCTGCTCAGTGACTTGCCGGGGAAAGAACTCTGAGGGGTCTGTTTTCCAAGGAGAAATCGTGCGTATTCGAGGTCCACGATCTTCGAAGTGCCACCCAGGCTAACCTGCCACTAAATCAAAACTGCAACCTTGTAAGCTTCACTGAGCAGGACGACACCCCTCAGTTACATCAGGAAATAGCTCAGCCGCGCAAGGGACAGCACGTGGGAAATACTGGAACTAAAGATGCTGGGACTCTGATGGTTTGTCTTGTAATTCAGTTTGGCTGGCAGAATTCCATGCCCTCGTCTTTGTTTCTGAGCCACGACGCTACTTAACAAGGGCAAGCGACTAACATGGGAATTGTGCTCAGAAGAGGCAACATGTTTTGCTGCATCGTGGATCTCGGGTAAGCCACGTGCCCATCTGCTTCATGTCTATGAGAACCTGGGATCATGAGATTTGTTCTGAAAGGAGAAAGCTTAATACGACCGAAGGCAGGGGTGGGGAGCCTTTTCTCTGCCAAGGGCCATTGGATATTTATAACATCATTCACGGGCCATACAAAATTACCAGCTTAAAAATTAGCCTGCTATCTTTGGTCAGACATTTAATTAGCTCAGCCCTAATGCCTTGGCAGGGCCAGACTGAATGATTTCTCAGGCCTTATATGGCCCGTGGGCTGGACTTTCCCCACCCCTGCAGACAGTAAATAACTGAGGAAATTAGGGCAAAAATAAAATTTAAAAGATGAAAAGGTTGTACATAAAACCCATGCAATAAAGCCATGTACCCTTGCTGCAGACTCAGCGCTGACCTCCCAGCGGACAGCACAGAGGGAAGCACAGCGAGTTATACGAATCATTACGTCCCAAGACATACCCAAACCAGTTGTTCAGGAAACACATGGATTCCCATGAATGAGATGTGAGAGACATTTCTCCCATGAGTCCTCATACAGGGTCACTGAGTCAAATGCTGAGCACACCCTCAAACACATCCCAGAATAGATGGATGAAAGGATTGTAGGTAAAGCGCTTTCTAAGGACACATCTGGCGAAGGTGGAACATCACTTCATAGGCACAGCTGTAAAAGCAATTCTAAAAGAGGCCAGAACAATGGGGGTGTGAACGAGCCCAGGTGTGCTCTCTCTAATGACCTGTTGAGGGCGGGGCCATGTGAGTAGGTGTCTGCCAAGGCCATGGCCAAAGAAGCAGCCGTGGACAGCGATGCTTCTGTCCTTATTCACCCCTGCACTTTTCTCCTCACCCCACCTGCAGCCATAGCCGTTTGCATGTTGGGAGGCAACCGATCAAAGGATGTGAGGCCAGTGAGGTGCCAGCCCCTGACCACAGGGGCCTCATGTGAAAAAGATGCCAGACAGTCAACCTGACCCTTGTCTCAGCTGAAGAGACCTGAGGAGGAGGCAGCGAGCAGCAGGGATTGCCGCTGTGAGATGCTCTATCAGAGGGCAGGTGGTAGAATGAATGATAAGGAAGCGGAGCATGAAGATGAGTCACTGGAAAGTATGAGGAAGAAAAAAAGACGTGGACAGACCCAGGCGCTGCCCGGTGAGAGGAGAGGCAGAGCACATAGGTGAGAACCCCAACTCCCTTCCGGGCCGAGGCCCCAGAACTGATGGGGAGCCTGCGGTTGCCCAGGTCCCACTTCTGGGAGCTCGGCGCTGCCACTGTCCCGACTCTACCCGAGGTTCTCAGTCACCTTTTCCAGTGAGCCCATCATCACGGGGAGTCACTGAGGCCGATTGCTGGGTGTGAGTCTGGCTGAAACGGACGAGCTGCATATCCTCCAGGTCGTCTATATAAACTTTGTCAGAACCGTGCCCCTGACAGGATTAAACAGTCAGGATGCCTGTCTGTGTGGAGGCCACCACTGCCAAGGGGAACAGGGAAGGAGAGTCCTCAGAGAGGGACCAAGGGTGACCGGGCCATCTTTTCAACCATGTATATCCTTTCTTTCCAATCAGACTGTAGTTGGTCCCAAAGCCAGAGACCATGTGCACAACCTCTCACAGATATTGGTCCCTTAGAAAGTATTTAATCAGTTATTGGCATTTAATGAGTGTGTGTGTGTGGGGGGGGGCGGTGGCGAGGGGACATGACGCTGAGTGCTCAGCACGACGATGAGGGAGGGGGGGGGGGGGGGGGGGCAGTGGCGAAGGGACATGACGCTGAGTGCTCAGCACGACGACGAGGGAGTTAATGCAGTGAATAGCATCTCCTCCAAAACTCATGTCCACCTGGGACCTCAGAACGTGACAGTATTGAAAATAGGATCTCAGATGTAATTAGTTAAATTTGGTCATACTGGATTAGGGTCGACCCTAACCTAAAGGCTGGTGTCCTTATGAGACGAAGAAAGAGAGACACGGAGACGCACACATATAGAAGACAGTCATGTGAAGACAGGGACAGGAATTGGAGTGATGTCGCTGAAGCCAAGGAATGCCAGACATTGCCAGAAACAGGAGCAGGGAGGAAGAGCCTTCAGAGAGAACGTAGCTGTGCAATACCTTGATTCTGGATTTCTAACTCCCAGCACTGTGAGAAAATAAATGTCTGTGGTTTTAAGCCACCCAATATGTGGCATGTTGTCATGGCAGCTCCAGGAAATAAATTACCCCCAACCAGTTTTTCCCACCAGTGACGTAATGGTGTGGCCCTCACTTTGGTGTGTTGAAGAATCTAATGGATCTGAACTCAGAGATAGACTAGGGCAGGGGTGGGCAAACTTTTTGACTCGAGGGCCACAATGGGTTCTTAAACTGGACCGGAGGGCCGGAACAAAAGCATGGATGGAGTGTTTGTGTGAACTAATATAAATTCAAAGTAAACATCATTACATGAAAGGGTCCAGTCGTTTTTTGTTGTTGTTGTTGTTTTTTTTAGTTTTATTCATTTCAAATGGCCAGATCTGGCCCGTGGGCCGTAGTTTGCCCAAGGCTGGACTAGGGGCTACCCACCACTCAAAAGAGCAAGTCAACAGTCCTCTTCCGTATGGGAAATGATGGCAAAAATAAACTAGTAAACACTACCATTTTTATGTGTGGACAGTTTGTAGGTAAGAGCTCTGATATAAGAGTTTCACATGTGACCACATGGGCCAAAAGAAGAATCTGGCTGAGAGAGAATCTAGGGAAGCTAGCCTCCAGAAAGAGACAGGGTGCGTAGGTGCTCACTCTTGGCTGTGACAGAGCTATATGCTTCTTGCACAAAGAAGCAGGAAACATCTGGATAAGTGAATCAGCACAAAGCCTGGTCCAGAAATGAAAAGCAGAAACTGTGGGATGGAGAAGCTGAGATTACAATCACCAGAAGCAAAGGGGTTCCTTCCTTCCCAGTCTGATCAAGGACCCAAATAAGTCATCCCTGGGGCCCTGTATTCAGCACCTACCAGGCACCAGGGAAGGTGCTAGGTGCCTTAAACATGATTTAATCTTCAATGACTCCACTTAGAGGTGTCGTGAGGGTGGGAAGATGGGCCAGGCAATTCCATTGAGTCCTTAAGATAGTTTACTCAGCCTTATTTCTGTAGCCAACATATGGTAAGGAAAGTGGAAAGTATCATAGAAACAAAATACCTGGGCCTAGCCCACAATAAACTTGCAATAAAAATACTTCCTTTAATAAATTATAAACTTTGTTCCAGAAAATTAAAATGTTTTATTCAACCTTTACTATTCAACTTTGAAACTTGTTCCTGGCAAGTCAGGATTTAAAAGGACTCTAAATGTTCTTCTATTGTATACATTGGATTGAAGAGGGGAAACTTTTTTTGGCAAACAGAGGGAAGTAAATTAAATCTCAGTGTTCCATAAAACAACCTTTCTTTAAAAAATAATTTTAAAAAAGTTTTTGTGATTCAATTAAGCCAAGAATTGAGTATACACAAAGAGAAAATGTAACTATCAGAAGGGATTTTTTTTTCTAGTTGCTTTAATTATGAAGTCACCCACTCAAGTTCAATTTCTTTCCTTTACCAAACCAGGTTAATATTGGGTGTCAAGTAGAGAAACTAAGAGGTTAAGCTGGACTTATTCACCCGTACAACACATGATGGCAAACACCTTGTGATGAAGTTCCACAAAGCTGAGGCCAAGACTCTCAGTTTCATTAGATCTCAGTTAGCAGGAGGTGAGTTGTTAGTAAACACTAAACAGAACCAGATGAAGAATATGTGGAGAGGGTGGTACCCTGGCGAGGGAGGGAAGAGATCCAAGACACGGTGCAAGCTGATGACCGTGTGATCTTCGGCGAGTTAACTCTTCTTTCCATGGATCTGTTGCTGAAGCAGAAAGTTCAAAATTCCAATGCCTGCACTATCATTCAATAGAATTATACAAAACTGTCAGGATAAATTAGCTAATGTACGAGGTGTAAAGCAAGGTAGCCTTAGCAAAAAAAGAAACCACAGAGTGTACTAATATGTCAAAGGTGCCATTCTGAGGACACATGGGGGCAAAAAAGATGTTTTGCACTTGCTGTAAAATCTCCAAAATTCTATAAACTGGTTCGTCTGATTTGCACACAAGCCGTTTGGAGGACCATTAAAGTAGATTGCGATCTATGCACTTTTCATTCAATTTTTTCTCATAACTTCCTCCTCTCATGTTACTTATATTCAGAGGAACAGCTGGGAGTTTCCTGCCCTGTGTAACATTCATTTGATTCAGGCAAATGGGTATTTCATAGGGGCAGCTGACACATGTTCAAAGATAAAAAGAAAAAAAACAGAAAGATGTCCCCAAATGATTAAACAAATTGCTTCCTTGACTTTAGCTGTAGGATGAAAAATTAATACCAAGGAAAGGGTCTGTTCTCACCCCGTGTGGTTCATGAGTCAGCAGTAAACAGAGTGCGCGGGAGTCCCAGGGACAGAAACAGCATCCCTGCCTGGGTCGCAGCAAAGCCGGGGGCTGTTTCTGAAATGCTGGCCAGAGAAATACCAGGAAGGAATGAAAAGAATCACAGTTTTTGCCCCTACTTAATTTGCATGGTTTGATTTATGACAAGGAAAGATAAGAAAGGTCACTTCATCTGCCCAGACCTCAATAAAAACAGGTAAAAAAAAAACAGAAAAAAAAAAAAGAAGGAACGTATCTGAAATGCAGAATGCTTGGTCCCTGTGCAGTAAGCATAGCCTCCCAAAGAGGTCCAGGCCCTAATCCCTGGAACCTGAGAGTAGGTCAGGATACATGCCGAATGTTTCCGATGGAATCAGAGTTGTTCGTCAGCTCACGTGGAGATGGAGAGATTATCATGGACTACCTGGGTGGGTCTGATGGAATCACAGATTCTTTAAAAAGTCGAAGAGAAGCAGAAGGAAGGGTCGGAGGGATGCGATCGATGTGATGTTGCTGCTTTGAAGTCAGGCAGTGGCCATGAGCCAAGAAACACGGGTGATTTTTGTTGTTGCTGTTTTTTTAAGATGGAAAAGACAAGGAACAGATTCTCTCCTAGAGTCTCCTAAAAGGAAGGCAGACACTTTGATTTTGGCCCCTGGTGAGACTGTTGTAGTTCTGCCCCGTGGGCCTATAAGCTTAGAAATTGGTGCTGTTCTAAGCCACCAGACTCGTGGTGATTTGTCACTGACAATGATAGAAAACTAATATTCCTGAGCTAAAATCTAGAGTACTTCACAGTGACTGTGAATATTAGTTATGATCCAGATGAATATTACTTATGTTCCAGTCCCAGGCGAGCACACAGCATAGAGGACGGTTTGCCTGGAATGCCCAGGACGCGCCTGCTCAGGATTAGCCCGAATGCCCGAGCTGAGATGGCTCAACTTCCCAGCATTGCCTCTCTTGGTATTTTCCTTCAACCACCTGGGTGAAGGCAAGTATAATACATGCTTGTTGGGCCTCTCCTGGGATCTGGGATGTAAAATGGGGTGAGATTTTCACTTAGCACCCATTTTCAAAGTAATTTTCATGGAGAAAATTTGATCAAGAAGGAGAACCTTTTAAATGTTAATAGTGCCAGGAGTCAAAATGAATTACCCTTTTAGCCATTTCCCCTGCCCATCTATATTCTGGCCCCTGAGTTCCTGGTTTTTCCAGAGCACACAGGTCAGGCTCAACATTCTGGACCACGAGGAACGCAAGATTCCTGAAAACCCTGAGGGGCTGCTGGGAATCTCTGACCACGGGTGTGTTGATGGATGTAGGCTACTTTCCCAGAGTCAGATTCCTCTACCATACATCGTCTCTCCTTCCTGGCCACAGCATCTCCTACCTAGTTTACACTGTGCCTGCTTCTCAAGGGAAACCTTCCAACCACTGTCATGGGACATAACATACCGGGCATCCAGTGACCGCGGCCAGGTCCACGGCCAGTTCACAGGACTGGATCAACTCCTCTATCATGGCCAAAGCCTGCTGCAGTTCCGCCAAGAACGCGGGATCCTTGGTCCTCTTAGGCCCGTCCTGTGGAAACCAAACGCCTTGTAGGGAATCCAAAGGTAAACCATCTTCCAAGTGAAGGTGGAAAACAGGACCGAGATAAGGAGCCACTGATCCAGCCAGCACGAAGTGTCTGAGACGGCGGGGACACCCATCTGCTCTCCGGCTCGCAGAGAATGGCGGCTAACGCTATTTGCTGGTTTACCATCAACCACACTTCTGTAGATTGTACTAATGAAGAATGAAGCTCATAAAATCATGGGCATTATACTCCTGCTCTATAAGAAACATACTGAGATTTTTTGAAGCATGAAAAAAAAAAAAAAAACCCCAAACACAGCCCCTTTAAATTGACTGCCCTCTCCTTTATACTCCTACCCCTCCGGCCTAAGGAAAAGTACAATTCATATTCCTATATTGAATGTGAAAGTCTTATTCCTATAGGTAAAGTTATGCTTAAAACCTTCCCAGAGGAGAACAGTTTTAAACTCCCGGAGAGAAAGAATGGGCTGCCAGTGCAGGCTGACTAATGATTGACCTGTAAACGCTGTAAGGGTTGCATTTCCGTAGCTCTGCCCTTCCTCCTCTCACACGCGGCTGCCTTGAAAGTTACCAGGGAGGTCTGCACCTCCCAAACATGAAGGCTCCGCATTAAGCGGAAAAGCCTGAACTGCTAATTCAGGAAACCAATGCTTCCAATGTTAGCACTGTGACCCTGAGGACATACTAGGGATGGTTCCTACAGCTTGAAAGGCTTTTGCATAGGTTTTCAGTATTTGATTCCCCACTACTCACATAACATATTTATGTCATCTAGTAAGTGCAAACAGAAAGATTTTGGTTTCTTCCATTTTTTTTAAACACATCAATTTCTACAACAAAGAACTGATAGCTGTTTGCTGCCCCATAGAGCCCCACCTCTTTTGCCCCCTCCTGCATGATGTCAGGGAAGGGCTGTGTATTCCCGTCACCCCTGCAGAAGCAGCAGGAAGTGGCATTGTTGGATCAGGGACATGAGTGACAGGGCTGATGAATGGAGCAGACCATGCTGCCTCCACTGAATGACCTGCCAAGGACTCTTACCTTCTCCTTCGTAATAAATACGCTGTGGTCCTGGTGAAAGACAGCAGACTCTCACCCGACCTTACAATAACATCAGCAGAGGGTTAAAAGTTCTTACACTAGGCATCATCCTCTTTACTCAACATGTACAACTCAACTTTAGAGGCTCAACTTCCCCTGTACTTTCTCCTTCCCAGTCTTGCTTTGGTAAAGTGGGGCTCAGAAAAAGCCTTACAAACATTACTAAGCCTCTCTCCCTCAGGCCAGCTCCCCTAGCGCCACTGTAACATCATTACCTGTGTCCTGAGCTTCTAATTTGAAGGGGTCCCCCACACACATTGTGAGCAGAGAAGGCATGCAAATGACTTTGAGACACATGCCTCGGGTTTCTCTTGTTAAAACTGGAGTATTTAATAGGGAATTTATAAGAAAGGCCACTGCTAAGCCACAAATTTCTTCCTAATCGGGTTGGCTACCATTTCCTTCAAGGGAACCTTGGCTGTTTCTCTTAGAACACACACACACACACACACACACACACACACACGCACACACATTTGGAGAGGAATGGGACACAAGCATACAACTTAGATAAACAAAGAAAGAAATATAAATCATTCATAACCCTACCGTACAGGAAAACCACAGTAGAGATTTTACCATATTTACTTTCAGTCTTTTATGTATGCATTTTACACATTCCTGTTTGTATTCCTGTTAAAACATTTTTGTGTGAAAGGAAGAAAATACAATACCATTTATCCTGCTACAAATCTCCACTTTGAAATTGCCTTTAATTATTTTGTTTCTTCCTGACTATGAATTATGGAATACATACAATTTTACAAAACTTAAACAATTGAGATCTTAAGCAAGGAAAAGAAAATAGCCATAAATCCTCCCACCCTTGGGCAAACACCATTAACAGTAAGATAAAACAATATTTAGCATCCAGTACCTTAGCCGCACCTCCTTCTATGCCGCCTGGGTCTATCTCCAAATCTTCAGGAGACTCAAAATCCAGCAGACCCTGCAGTAACCCAAAAGCCTTATTGAAAATCAAAAAGTAAAATGCCAACTAAATGTACTGTGCAATCTCCAGACAAATGCTAAAGTAACCGAGAATGTATGCAAATTTGTCTGTCTGTCACGAGTAAGAGGGAAAGGATGAATTATCTATCTGGCACAGTGTTCTTTGCACAAATAAAATCATATTAGCCACATCCTAATGTAGCCTGCTTTTTCTCACTCAACGGCATATCATGAATGTTTATTTTCTCATGACATTGTATACTTTTAAAAACGGTTTTGATTGTGTCAGCGTTGTGTCCTATACACACATCGTAATTGATTCATCTTTTCTATTGTTAAATATTTGGGTTCTGTAATTTTTCCTAAAGATAACTTCCCAGAAGTGGAATTGCCAATCTTAAGAGTTTTGATGCATATATCCAAGTTCCTTCGAGAAGGACTATGTTTCCGCCAGCCACTTATAAAACCTGGCTCACCAGCCATTTAATCAAAATGTTCAACCAATTGAATTACAGGTCAATCCCACCTCACTGCCTTTTAGTTTGAATTTCTCAGATAATTAGTGAGGAAGAACTTTCAAAAAATGTTTGCTACTAAAAATTTCTTCTTCTTTTGTAAAATGCCTTCCTTCATTTATTATTACTATTATTTTAATTTAATTTTATTGTTTAAAGTATTTACATATGTACAAATAGTACATATGTCTCCTTTTTACATTTTTATTATTAATTTCTTTTTTATTGAGGTAGACCTGACACATAAAATTGTTAGATATGTAAAGTGTACATCATGATGATTTGAGATATGTATACATTGTGAAAGGATTCCCCCATCTAGTTAATTAACACATCCATCTCACCTCACATAGTTATCATTTATGTGTGAGAGAGAACAGTTAAGTCTACTCTGTTAGCAAATTTCAGTTATACAATACAGTGTTATCAAACTTCATGTTTTACATCAGAGCCTCAAACCCTATTCATCTTACAGCTGAAAGTTTGTAACATTTACCCACCTCTCCCCATTAATTATTTCTTTAAATAGTAGCCTATTTAACATTTTAAAAGAAGAAAAATGAATTTTGCTCTTATGATATGAGTTAGTATATATAAGAAATCAGCATGAGTATCTATCCTAGAATAGCTTTGTAATAAGCAAAAGTCATAGTAAACCAATATTGCACCATTTTACAAACCATATCTTAATTCAACAAAATCCAGGGAAGAAAAATTCTCTACATTAAATTTGGTAGTTTCTAGTCCTGGCCAGTGTTGCTCAATGATTAGAGTATCATCCCATACACTGAAGGGTTGTGGGTTTAATTCCCTGTTAGGGCACATACACAGGTTTCGGGTTGGAACCCCGGTCGGGGTGTGTATGGGAGGCAACCGATCGGTGTTTCTCTCTCTCTCCCTCTCTGGAATTAATGAAAATAAAAATGTCCTCAGTTGAGGATTAAAAAAAAAAAAATTGGTAGTTTCCCTCCATCACTCAGTCTGTTTGATAGAAACCATGAGTTCAAGGAAATTGAGTTCCTGTTGCTGATAGTAATGTATGCTGATAATAATATAGTAATATTGTTTCATTAACTTGCCTTGATTCGTTAGACATTAGGTACTAAAAAAGCTCTTGGTAATGAATATTAATTTTTATAACATCTCAGATAAGATAGTAAGCGTTTCATAGATACGCCTTTTTTACTTTTTTTTGTCATTCATTTCTATGAGCTCATTAATAAGCATGCTGACCATTGGTCGCACTCTTGCTAATATATATTTTCCCCATTTTTCATGTGTCTGTCCTTATGGTATAATCCGTCCTTCCTTCCCTTTTCTTTTATACTTGGAACAGCTCTCCCACACCAGGATTCTACAATCCTTTCAAAGCCGTGAGGCAGTCTGCCCAACACCCATGCTTTCAAAGAAGCTGCAGACTGAGCTCAGTTCCTCAGGACAGAGGCAACCACAAAGGCCCTCCTTTCGTCATGGGCCTGCCAGCGGTTCAAACGTGTGTTCCCGGGCATCCAGCAGGCTTCTCCACGGGAAAATCTGGCCGGCCCTGAGTCGCCTCCCATGGTTGTGCACAGACCCCCAAGGAAGATTTTATAATCATTCCGTCTCTTGTTTCCTCAATAAAGCTAACAACATCTTCTAAGTATTTTTAACATGTATTCCCTCTTTTAATGTTTCCAAAAGGCACACCAGGCAAGTCCCATTACTACCTTTTTTTTTTTTTTTTTTTTTTTTTACAGGGGAGGAGGCTGAGGCTGAGAGCAGGAACCTGCCTGGTTCACACAGCTGTCAGAGCCTGGATCCACACCCAGGATGTCTGGCTCCCGGCTCTGTGCTTCTGGTCACTGTGCCCGAACGGCCTCTGTAAATGGAACTTAGCTATTGTGTCAGCATCACTTCAGAGGGAGAACTGGAGCCCTCAGTCCCGGATGCAGCCAGGCCAGGGGGTGAAGCCCCCCTCTTCCCGAGCCTCCCTTGGGTCCCGCCCCCTCCTCGCTGGGCCCAGTGGTAGGACTTCGTGACCAGAGTAAGGATGGGACAGTCAGAGGCATGCGGGGCCCTAAGAGGATGCTGTATCATTACTCGCTCACAGATACTACTCATGTTGGGAGGCAGGGAGCCATCATCCTCACTCCCACACTGGCGTGGCATCTCCAGGTATGAAACAGCGCTACTGTCATGAAGTTTCCTGGGGCTCAGTGCTGGGCAGCTCTCTGCAGGCATCACTCACTGCTTTCCCCAGCGAGGAGGTGGTTCTGCTATCCTCATCCACTGTGAGAAGACCGAGGCCTAAGAGGTCCAGTAATCCCAGTTGGTAGCAACAAAGCCGGGGCAGCCTAGGCTGGGGCTGTCGAGGCAAAGATGAAAGAGCTAACTTTTCTCGAGAGCGGAATATCGGACATGAGCTTAACCTCCATGAGCCTCAGTTTCTTCATACTCCAGAGCCTGCCTGACACATCTGATTGCGGGATTAAGTAAAAAATATGTGTGGGAAGGCTCCCAGGTCCCTTTTAACTCTCCGATTCCTTGGTCTTACCCCTCATTGAGGAGGGCCGCGTGAGACTTGGAGGACAGACAAAGCTCCAAGGGCAGAACTTTTACCTCAGAAGACAAAGTCACAACTGTCCACGTGACCACCTTAGTGCATTCACCTGTTTTCCCAACACAGAAAAGCACGGTCTCATTGGCTTTACCTTCAACAGCATCTGGTATTTTATAAGTCTCTGGCTTGGGCCTCTGAGATACTCGAAAAGAGGGAGACTGTGATCCAGTTGGCGCTGGCACACCTTTCAGAAACAAACAGAAACAACATCAACCAAAACAAACAACACACCAGAGAACAAAGGTGGCGGCATTGAAACACCAGAAACAAGCCGGGCTCTTCATGGACGAGAGGGGCAGTGGTGTTGGCCAGTGTCCTAAGGCTACTGAGTTGCTCAGTCCTTCAGCAACAGCGAGTGAAGTGAAAGGAAGGGGGAAGGGGAGGACTTGGCTAGTGTTTTTATAGGCCACTAGGGAGCAAGGCCACTTATTTCTTTTAGAAGGCAAGCCCCTCGAAGACAGCAGGGCATTTCAGGTCCTTCTACACAGGAGGCAGCCTGTCTCTGAGTCTGGGCGGGGTGGGGTCCACTGAGGTCATTTGAGTCTGTAGGATACATGATGGCTTATGATATCATTCAAGAGAGTCCCAGAGTCTAATCTTTTGGACTTAATTCCATTTTCAAAACCACCTTAGAAGAGGACTCTGGTTTCCACACCAGGCTCCTCGCAGACCTGCTCACAGAGACCCAGGGCAGCATCCAAACTTCCAATGTACGACTTCAACGTAGAAGAGACTTTTAATAAAGATAAATCCCAGTGCTAAATTCCTCTGCCCAGTTCATACTTTTGGAAGCTTTAAAAATGCGGTGCATAATGAAAAAAATGAATTGACCAACAAAATAAGACCCGGCCCTGACCGATTTGGCTCAGTGGATAGAGCGTTGGCCTGAGGACTGAAGGGTCCCGGGTTTGATTCCAATCAGAGGCATGTACCGTGGTTGCGGGCACATCCCCAGTGGGGGTGTGCAGGAGGCAGCTGATGTTTCACTCTCTATCAGCCAATCAGAGGCATGTACCGTGGTTGCGGGCACATCCCCAGTGGGGGTGTGCAGGAGGCAGCTGATGTTTCTAACTCTCTATCCTTCTCCCTTCCTCTCTGTAAAAACTCAATAAAATATATTTAAAAAAAAAAAAGACCCAGAGCATGGAACAGATTGACGTACCTCGATGTGAGGTTGGGGGAACAAGAAGAAAGAAACCAAAGGACTTATATACTTATATACATAGCCCATGGACATGGGCAATAGGGTAGTGAAGACCTGGGGGTGGGGTGGATAGGGGCTGGGAGAAGGGGGTGAAGGGGGAGAAAATGGGAGATATCTGTAATACTATCAACAATAAAAATATATTAAAAATTTTTTGATGCACATTGTTCAGAGAAAACAATTTGTGGGAGACCTTGTAATCTCAACGTTACCCCAAAGTAGGCGCAGTCTTGACATTCTTGCCAGATTGCCTGAGCTCGGGGCAGGTTCTTATGGTATTTAAAATATATCTGAAGATCTTCTTTCTGAGTGGGAAAAAAATCCAACACATTAATCAGGTGGTATTTTTCAGTAAATGGATAGGATACTACAGTTTATTTATTCATCCAACAAGCCCAGGTCTTTCAATGTGTGAGAAGCTGGGGATGCACAGTCAGTGGCCTTGCGATGGAGTGAGTGTGTGATGGAGGGAATGGGGGCCACAAGCAACCATCCGTACTAAATACAGATCGGAACAAAGTGCTGTGGGAGCAGTTACAGGACATTCATGAACAGGAGTCGGTCTCGATCTGTGTTGTTTCTCCTCTGCTTTTTATGCAAAACACCAACGTCTCCCCTAAATAGTTCTTTCCCCCACAAAAAAGGTGTTTACTGAATGGTAAAACGGAACACCCTCTCCTATTTACCATAATCATGACTCCAATTCCAGGGGGAAAAAACCCAGAGAAACAACAGAGAGAAACACCCCAGCAGGAAAATGTGGCCATTCAGACAAAACCACACAGATCTAAATCACGTGGGCAAGCCCCAAAGTGGCACGCTCTGCCTCAGTCACCGCCTTCACCTGCAGCTCAAGATTCAAGAAGGAAAAGGTACTCAACTGTCTCAGAGCTAGAGACCAACAGCGATCCGAGTGCGTGTGCGACCTTGGAGCATGCGGAGGACACACATCTGCCAACATCCCAGATGGAAAGGACACCCTAAGCCCATGAAGCCAGCTGCAGCTTTGCTCCATCAGGAGAGCCTGGTCTATGGGCGCTGTGCTTGCCCCAGAGCCACGCCGCTCTGGCAGAGAAGCCCACGTGGTTTCTTCCTTTCAGATTTCGTGTCCCTCTCTTCCTACTAAAGGCCAGTTTGTGATGTCCTTCAGATGCACGTGGGCTCTCTTCCCCTCACTGTGTCAACGCTGTCTCTTCTACTTCTAAACACGGGGCTCTGGTGAATGAGTTACATTTCTGTATCTCTTCCCCTCTCCCCATGGATTGTAAGTGGTCTTTTCACTACAAGAACTAAAGCAACTCTGTCTTTTGTACTCTCTCCAGAAAAAACTGTGCGCGCACACACACACACATTTAGTAAGAGAGGTGGCCCTTGAGAAATATTGTTCAGACTGGTTAAGGAACTAGAATAAGAATTCAAAGCTTAACAATAATATATTCATTATGCATTCACTCAGCAACTGTCTACTGAGTGTTTCTGGTGTGCCGGCACTCCGCTGAGTGCATCTGTTAAACTCAGTGTCTCCCAAAGCATGGCAGACTAGATGTGGGACACATTTCTGCCATCCTGAAGGCCAGGCTTACAAAACATTACAATGTACAATTTGATTCAGGCATCTCATCTACAGATAGTCTGTCAGAGCACAAAGACATTGGCTGCTAGCTCCTAAAACAGTGATGGCGAACCTTTTGAGCTCGGCGTGTCAGCATTTTGAAAAACCCTAACTTAACTCTGGTGCCGTGTCACATATAGAAATTTTTTGATATTTGCAACCATAGTAAAACAAAGACTTATATTTTTGATATATTTTATATGTTCGCCATCACTGTCCTAAAAGAACTAAGGTTTTGCTGCTTTCAACACTCACCACCAGAAGATTCTCAGTAGCTGAAGGAGACTTTAGAGATACAGCTTCCCACCCAGTGAAGCATCCTCAACAGTCAGCCACCTTTCCCCAACTCTCCCAGTAACAGACGGACCTGGTTCTCTCCAGGGGAGCTGAGCTGAAACCTGTGTTCCTGAAACCTTCACCTTGGTTATGTGTCTGCACATTGAGCCACAACACAGGACATTATAGGCCAAGTACCGAACTATACTAGTAACTATTGACTTTGATTTGCTCTTCAGTCCAAAATTCCTGAGAGAAAAGATGTGCACTAGCCAGCAGCATATGAAAGTGCCCGATTCCCCTCACCTCCTTATAGAATAAATCAGGAAGCTAAAAAAATTACTACCAAAACTCATATTCACACAGGGAGACATGACTGCTTATGAATCAAGACGGTGGTGGATGATTCAGGTTCAGTTCTTGGCTTTGTCAATTATAAACTATATGGCCTGAGGTTATTTAACCTTCCTACACCTCAGTTTTCTCATCTGTTAAGTGGGCTCACCACAGTAGTCAATTCCTCCGGTTGCTGTGAGATTAAATGAGATGATGTATAAAAACCTCTCAACAAATGCCCGATACATGCAGAGTACCCAACAAATAGTAGCTATTGTCACAGCACTTTTTATTTTGTAGAACCCCTCTGCATGCATTATTTTATTTGACTTCCACAACAGCTCTACGTGTTGGTATTATTAAGCCTGTTGTATGGAGGAGGAAAGTGAGACTCCAAGAGTTTAAGTGACTTACATGAGGTCAAGCAGATAGCAGCTTGATCTAGATAAGAAGTTCCATTTCCTGAGTCTCATCCGTGCTCTTTCCAGAGAGCAAAGGAAACTCAAAGTAAACCACTGACAAATAATATCCTACATGGAGCTTGGTCTCGGGGGCAGAATCTCCCTGGGCGCTATAAGTATAGAGTCTGATTAAAACACTTGGCCAGCATGGCCGGTGTGGCTCAGTGGGTGAACATCAGCCTATGAACCAGGAGGTCTCAGTTTGATTCCCGGTCAGGGCCCATTCCCTGGGTTGTGGGCTCGATCCCCGGTGGGGGGCATGCAGGAGGCAGCCAATCGATGTTTCTCTCTCATGGATGTTTCTCTCTCTCTATCCCTCTCCCTTCCTCTTTCTAAAATCAATAATAATAATTTTAAAAAAAACACCTTGGCCAGAGCAATATTTTGAAGTTCATATCTATGATTAGTGTCAATCTGCAAATAGTATTGAGAAAAGATAAACCGCTATAGTAAAAAAAGGATGATAGGCCCACCTTATTGGCTAACAAATACAAGTCTTTGTACAGCAGTAGCCAATACTCTCAAGGATTCTCAAAGATTAGATAATTGCAGTTTTAAGATAAGAATTTATTACCTGTATTTTGTCTCCAACATCATTAATCATATAGGATTATATATAGAGTTTGTGGTCTGGGTTAATGATTTCTAAGGTATCTCCCAACATGGAGGACTATAAAAACCTTGTATAACTGTAGGAGAGGAATTCATCCAAGAAAAGATGTTTAGTTGGCAACTCCCTGACTATTTCCTCATACTTAAGCAATTTTTATGTGATTACACCCATTTTACCCCATAGGAATTTGGTCCTTTTCTCACTCAAAAAATGTAAATGTCTTTGCAATCCTACATAATAATCCTATCTAATACAAGAGAACCATGGT